CACACACACACACACACACACACACACACACACACACACACACACACCTAGAGACCATCTGGTCCTTGTCCCTCGGGGCAACGTCAGGCTGTTGTCCCATTGGCTTGGACTGCAGAGTGAGAAGGATTCTGTCCAGAGCCTGAGGAGGACCGATGAGACGTTACATCATCACATCACTGAGATGCTACATGAGTGACATCACTAAAATATCACTTTTTTCTTTTTCATCAATGCAAGAATACATGTCGTTGTGCATTATGTTATGCTACAATACTTGATCTGAGCTGCAGAGATCTTCAACACAGAGAAAGTGAGATGTTGACCTTATTTTGGTGCTGCTCACTCATCTCCAGGTCTGCCAACAAGCCGGTGGAGAAAGAGCTGAAGTCCTGCAGTCTGGTCTGCATCTCCAGTAAAACACTGCAAATACAGAAGGGAGACACTTCAGTAAGTCAACGCCGCCATCTTTACAATGTGCTCAAAAACAGAGGAAAAAAACTAAATTTGCTATTTCAAATTTGAAAACTGAAATCTGCTATTATCAATTTTAAATTAGCAAAAGATGTGTTGATAGATGATCTCTTTATAACCAATCTGTTAGTAATTCAGCAATTAGAGTTTAAAATTGTTCAAATACATTTGATCACATTTATAGACATATGCATATATTCATACTTTTGAATAGAACACTTTCATATGCTCTAATGTTAAAAAAAACAACATTATTTTCTGAAAATGTCTGCCTGAATATATCTCTATTCACCGTCTGTATTAGCACCTCTCTCCTTAAAGAAGCTACATTTGATATTCAGAGCATTAATAACACAGCAAACAATAGTTTTCTAAAGCTATACTGTAGTAATGTCTACCTGAGCAGAGAATGAAGTATCTCTCCTTCTGTGTGTTGTAATCCAACCTTCTCTGTGCTTTGTTTACATAGCCCGTTAGTGCACGTAAACAAGCGTAGCGCTCACTCTCTAGTTCCCCGTCACTGTTAGCTCTGCCAGCATTGCTTCCATTGTTAGCGCTGTTAGCAGTTCCCAAGTTCATAACTTTTTTTTTTTCTCTATTACAAGTTTTATGAAATGTTGTGTTTAAATATGCAAATGAGGCATTATCTAATGCTAACTTTTGGTGAATTCGTGAGAAATCTAGATACACAAATTGACTAAGTGTAGCAAAACAAACACCTAAATGTGTATTTCATGCTTACTTTCCACTAGTTTCAGAGAGAGGACATGTTATGGAAGCTAAATAGCCCAAATCTCAACATTGACCAGTGTATAAAAAACAATATTATTGCCTGGGTTGTCTCCCCTTAAGATCAAAATCACAATATCACTTGCTCAACAAGTGTGACGTGAAGCTAAATGATGTAATAGACTATACATTTAATCTGTTTAAGGGGGACTGCTGAATAGCATCGTCCTACTGTTAATCTTTGTTAATCTTATTCATATAAGCCTCCATCATCTCAGTGAATTGCTGTCAAACCAAACAAACAGTTATCTTGTTGTAAATAGTCAAAGTGTTTGGGATAACTCAGTTTAAGTGTACTTTCAGCTCCTGCTCCTACCTGCTCCACGTCCTTGTTGAGGCCAGAAGCTCTTTGTACCTCAGCACGCAGTCCTCTCGAAGGAGAGATTTCACTCGCTTAATGTGGGACAACAGGTGGATTCTGGGATGGAAGAGCGACAAGCAGATTACAGGAGAGCTCAGAGTAACATACTTCACAGGCTGGCTGAGCAGGACCGCCGCTGTGTGGACACACACTCACTTCTCAAATTTGTGGATTTGCTCGTCGTTATATGCCAACTCTGTCGGGTAAATAAGAAAACAGGTGTTGTCAATTTTAGCATTTACAAAAAAAAGTAATTAAATACAGTGCAGAAACAATAAAAAAAAGACATACTGCCAGTTAGTTTGTCTTTACGGTAATGCTGATGAATTGCCGTTATCTTTTGCAGCAGCATCCCCATCTTCTGACAGCTGAGGAAGGCAAAACGTCAGAGTTCAAAGAACACAAACGCAGGAGGCCACCCTGAAGCTTTGTATGCCTGTATGTCTGGAGTACCTCTTGTCACTGGCCAGCGTCTCTGCTAGCGTGGCCTGTTCTATCTGCAGATGCTCCAGTCGGCTCTGGAACTCTTGGATTCCCGCAGCGTATATAGGCAAGTGCTTACGTACCTGTAGAGACAGCAGCCACAGACTTTGAGACCTGATTCAACAAATCTGACACAAAATGAATAGTACATGGTCCAAAATCCATGGATTAGTTTGCATTAGTCAATTGAAATGTGTTTAGAGAGAACTCTTGGACAAAATCCTTATACGCCTGCTTGTGTTTTCACATTCCGCAAGTTTGTCTTGGTTTTCATTGTGATCGGCCATTCTCCACTATAAACTCGTTGATGAAGGAATGCTGGCGTTAAAAAGCCACATTCCCAACTTTATTTCCATCAGCCTCATTAGTCAAGCTGTGATACTTCTTCCTCATGCTACTCACCAGATGCAGCTTTTGCCTGCCATCAGTTGAACCTTGGTTTTCTGAATCATAATGGCCTCTAAGAAAAATAAAGAATCAACAGATATGGGAGGAAAAAAAGAGGAGGTTGTGGATTGAATTATAACAAGATAAAAAAGACATTTGTCAACAAACGACATCTCTCAGAATCCACAACATCCGTTAATGGCAGTTAAGATCATACAGTGAGCAATCCAATCCTACATCACACTCATGGTGAAAAAGCAGCTACAGCTCTATTTGCCTTAGTGCTGTGCATCCTAATGAATGTCATAGAGTGTGAGATCCCAGATTCCCTCTATCTAGCTCAGACAGTGTGTCGATGAACTCACAGTGTGTGGGTCCTGTGTTCCACGCTGAGGCAAGACTGCAGTCTAATGGTGATCATTGCGATAATGTGGATCGCTTCTTCACACTCACTACGCAACCTCATCCTGAGGAAGAGTCAGAGTGGGAGAGAGGAGGAGGAGGAGGAATGGAGAGGAGGAGAGTTTGATAAGGATATTAGGACAGAGTTAGTACATAACCTCGAGGCTGCATCACTAACAAATACTCCCTCTTTCATTATGTGTGCGTCTCACATGTAGCTGTAGTATCCTTGCAGCAGCAGCTCTCTGTCTGTGAGCAGCAACCGTACTATCCTCAGATACTGGTGGACCACTCCCACTATAACCTACAGACGGGAGGGGGATGAAAGGAGATAATAAATAATGGGTTGGATGCTTTTAATGCACACAATGGCAAATATAAAAACGACCATAACATTTGGTAGGGCTGAAAAAAAGAGAATCAGCAGAGCATCAGTACCTTGGAGAAGTTGTAGTCTGCCATAACATCAAACCGGGACGGGATGACCGGAGTCTCGGCTACAAAGGAGACAAAAACACATGACTTATGGAAAGAGTGCGTACAGGGATGTGGCTGGACATTAATAATTGTATGCACACAAATGTGATTACTTTCCTTTTTAACCAACATTCATGATGCACAATTGTCTTTTGTATATAATTTCCCTTTATCTGTGATTCCCATAAATATTACTAAACAAAATTCACAAAGATATGCATGTGTAGTCTGAGGAAATGCGATGCTGGATTACTCCTTTTATCAAAACTCTTTCATGACTTCCGAGGGGAATAGCAAAGAATAAAGGAGAGGAAAGCTTTGGACTTCACAGAAACATCTCAAAGGTGTATTTCTTTGATTGTCTTACGCTCTCTGAAGGGCAGGCTGGTATTTTCCTCAGGCCCGTCGCTGAGCAGAATGAGGGGCCGGTCATGTGACGTATGCGGGAGGTTGACCACCTTCATGTTGCCCTCCACAGGGAGTTTGTGACCAAGGTATAGCAGATGTTGCAGCTGAACCGCTATACCGGTCTGAGACGTCACGTCCTCGAAGAACATGGACACCCTGAGGGGGGAGAAAGAGGATTTTGGGCTGCTAGGCAAATATCAGGTCTGATTCTGCATCCCGATTACATTTTAAGATCAGGGTCAGAGATCTCGGTCACTGGTATTGTTATTAAGCATAAAGTAACTGGGCCATCCATAATGCCCGGCGCAGATGCAGTTTTAAAGCTGAGGTAGGCGGTATATTTTTGGCATTGTTGAGCAAGTATTCCATAATAACCTTTCAGCACATTATAATTCAAGTGGTCTGAGAGGATAGTCGACTATACAGCCGGCTGTGTTTCCGGGCTTTAGAAAATCTAGCTTGTGATGGGAGAATTTGACGAATCACAGGTCATTCAGAGAGAGGGCGTTCCAATTAGCTATAAATGCTCATGCACGTCCCTTAGGTGGTGATAGACGGATTCAAACGGCGGAATATCCTGCAGAAACAGTTGCTGTTCCAGCATTGGCAACAACATCCTCCACTGCAAAGCAACCCAAAAAAGGAAGACGGACTCATCATAAGGAGCGTTTGACATTATCGATGAAGCGATTCAGATATGGAGAGAAACTGTTGCGACGAGTTTAGCCTTCTGCTCGAGCCAGCAGGCGGCTAGTGACGTGACAGCGACGGTTAGCAGAAGGATGAACTACCGCCAATGTTTCCTCTATATCTCTGAAACGCTTCGCTGATATTGTAGCTCGCTAAGAGCCTCGATTCACAGCATGTCATCTCAATGGGCTTCAGAGGCACACAAGTTAGCAAAGAAATCAATCTGTTTAGACTATACATGGCTGCATAAACAATTAGACATAATTCCGTTTACCATACAAATTGAGTTGTATCTTACAAAACCAATTCCTGAATCGACACTAGAAATGTTAAGTAAATGAATTACTTCTTTATTTGTGTTTGTGTGCAGACTCACGTGTTGTAGTGGTGTATGTAGATGCAATGCGCCATGGCCTGCTGCAGAGAGAAGAGGTGAACCGGCTGCCGCTGCAGTAAATCTGTGGTGGCTGTGAAGAACTGGTCAAAACCCCAACACCTCTCCTGGTCAGCCTCCAGTATACCCGCTAGTATTGGAACCAGTTGCACTGTCAGACCCCTACAGACAGAGAGGGACAGAGTGGGAGAGAAATCAAGTAAAACGTTAGCATCACTTCCTGTCATTAAAAAGTCACTGCGATGCCTGTTCAAATGCTCTGTATCAGGTGACATACTGTGAGAGTTGGCAGCTGTGAGGTAAGTGGTAGCTCCACTCTATAGGCCCGCCCTCCACCCGCTGCGTTCCAGCTATTGCCCCCATAGGCTTCTCTGTAGTTATTTTGTACCTGCACAACAAAAAGCACAAGTCAGGCTTATAATCATTGATACATGTTCATGCTCTGCCAGATACCACGGCATTCCTGAAGAAACAGAAAAACATCTTTCTCTCTGGGAATATCTAAGCATTTGGCAAAGTTAAAATGGTCGAGTGTCGTTATTAACACTGAAACACGACTGATTTCATGGTGGTATGCTTCCCAATATGGAACTTGGCTGCTGAAGATGGAGTTTAAGACAAGTCATTTAAGTCCCAACTTCTGAGATCATAAATGTGTGGTCTGTGTGGACTTTCTCACTTCCAATGCATTGACTCACATGGTGGGCTTGTTCCTGCGAGGTCCTCCATACGGTGTGAAGGGAAGAGTCCCAGTGGCAGCGTGATAAAATGTCACACCAATACTCCACAGGTCTACACTCACACCATAGGATTTCTGATGAGGCTTACGCAGCACAGCACGTTCGTACATGTCTGGGTGCTGAACACGTGCGCGCACACACACACACACACACACACACACACACACACACACACACACAC